AAGTGCTCTTTCGAAAAAAGGCTCTATGTAATGCAAACTGTGCTTTTTAAAAAGAGAGCATCCAGACTGCCTGGTTGCTCTTTCGAAAAAGCGGTTTGCTTTTTCAAAAGTACTGGTTGTAGTCTAGATGCTCTTTCAAAAGAGGCTTTTTCGAAAGTATTTTTTGAAAAAGCCTTTTTCGAAAGAGGCTTGCAGTCTAGACATAGTCTAAGTGAGAACCTCGCTGTGATATTGTGAACCTCATTTTATTGTGAAAGTTTAGTTATGTTTTAAGGCTTAAAGAGTGTAAAAAGTGATTAATAAAGGACATATTTAATGATGTCATGTGTGAGTGCCTACATCAATTAGTTTGGAAAGAAGCAAAATACTTCAAAATTAATTGATTGACCTTATAGTAAGGAAGATGCTCAATAACACCTTGAGGTGGCTTGACAAAATGAATTACTATGCTGTAATAATGGACTGCCCTCCTGACAGTTGTCACAATGATAAGATGTCATTTACAATAATGTTTGTTGATGACAAGAATGACTGGAACCAAATGAAGGAACATTTAATCTGTTTCTGGTCTGTGAATGACTCTACTGAAAAAGGCCTAACAGAACTGCTTATGAATCTTTTGAATGAGAATAAAAGAAAGAATCAGGACTGCTGCAGCCAAGAGACAATAATGGTATGACCATGAAGGGAAGAAACAGTGCCAAGGGAAGGGCTCTTGCACTGAATCCAAGTGATTTCTTCGTATCTTGTGGCTGCCTCAACCTGGTTGTATCAGATGCAGCATCATCTACTTTACTTCCAATATCTCTCTTCAGAGTACTGCAAAATAGGTATGTCCTACATCCCAAAATCAACTCTCAGGTGGAAGATTCTCATGTTACAAATTTTACCGTGAAGCTGCTACATGAAACTCCCTGCTCCCAATTTTGGGCCTTCTGCAATACAAGTGGCATCAATAATGCTCATCATCAGGGCTTGACAAACCACGACAAAAACCACTCACCAGCCCCGCACTGCACGTGCGCGAACCGCCAGTGAACGGGGCGACCAGCTGAAATCTACTTACCATGGTGAGTAGATAAGCGGATTTGTTGAGCCCTGCTCATCATTCTGACCTGTTTGTGCACCAGAGTCTCTTGTTTTAGTCTTGCTGCAGTTGGAAATATCCATTTTTGGCAGCCAGTGAGATTCCTTAAAAGTCAATTGAACACGAAATGGAAAATCCAGCCACGTCCATGTGTAAATTATGACTAACGCATATGTTATTGAAAACTTTGCTATCAGGGCTTTCTGTTGCCTTTTATTTATATCAGCTTCAAGCCTGCAAGAATGTTTTGGCTGCTTTTCAAAACATGAAGCCTTAGCATATGTGGAGTCACTCAAAGGGAAATTAGTCACACCTATTAGCTCAGAGTACCCAATCACTTTAAAATCCCTGCAACATCAATATGCCTGACCATGAAACAAACTCCTTTGTGGCTTTCTTGTTTGTAACATTCTTTTAATACAATTGTCTCTCCCGGAGTGTACATCAACTGAAGTATAAATAGCATATGGGTGTACTGCTTGTTCTTTTGGAAGAGCTGGGATGATAGGGCAGACTTAAAATTATCCCAGGGCTTGTTTGTTGTCTTATTATGCTAACAGAATGATTTATATTGTCATAGCTTGAGGTGTCATGTGACCACAATAAAGGCTCACAGTCATTCTTTTCAAGTGCTGAACAAGGAATCCTGTCAGAATAAGGAAAATAGTATTAATCCCATAGCGATTGTTTCTCTGGTTCATTGGGATGTGTCTGACTTGTACTCTTCTCAGTTCCTTTAGCCTGGACTCTTTCTAGAGTTTTTGTTCTGTTTTACAAAACACATATCCCCAAAACCAAGGTGACTATGTAGCATTGTAGTCGTCCTAAGGATAAAAACTCTGATTCTATCTTTATCTGTAAAATATGGCTGTCAGGCTGTGGGAATGATGTCTCAGAATGAAGGGCTTCCCCAATGTCCCATCAGGGAAATGGGCACAGTAAGTGGTTTGATTGCCATCAAAGGAGATTAAATGTGCCACGTGGCCCAAGGTGGTGTTTTTAGCAGCTGGCTCCAAAGCAGAGCTCTGCTATATCCCTCCTTGGATGAGACCCCAAGTCAAAGATTTCCTCATCCATCCCTGAGGCTCTGGTAGAAAAACATGTCTCCTCCTCCAGTGCCCTTCCTACATGAAGATGAACCTGGTTTCTTGATTTTCCTTGCTACAAGAGCTATGTGAGCTTCAGCTCTAGAATTAGGGCTCCTATGCACCATGATAATTGAAATACTTATTAGTATTAATTATTTTTGTAAGAATGGAAGGGAGAATGGTTAAGGCTCTGTGCCGGAATAAGGAAGAACCAGTTTACATGTTTCACACCATCCAACCACCTCTGTGGCTCCAATTGGTGGACCAGGTGCAGATGCCTTTTATTCCTCTTGTACATTGGATCTGTCTGACTGCATAGTAATCTTCCTTCAAGTTTGTCCCTGGGGAAGATGCTAAGTTTGTTTTGAAACGATACCTAAGCAGCCAAGTCTATTGCTTTCTCCAGAACACACGAAAGTGAAAGAGTTGAGGCTGGCCTACACCAAAGCCAGGGAGTGGAGCTCCCGTTCAGGGGCAGCACCCCAATCATATCCCTATACAAGCCCCTCCACCACATCCTAGGAGGGGAGTCGGTCCCTTTCCCCACTTGCCTAAGGACACCTTCCTGGAGCTCTCCCGAGGAAACTCCACTCCAGTGCTTCACCACCCTCCTGGGACAACGGCAAGAGAATCGTATCTGCCTGAGTATGGCCCCAACTGTTGATCTCCCCACGCAAAACTGGTTCCCGGCAGAGCAGTAACTGTCTGGTGTGGTGAGCTTCCAAAGTGTGATGGTGACCCACTTCTGGAAGGGGATGGCGGGTTCCATGTGCGTATCCCTTGCAGAGCTCCAGGAAGGTGTCCTTAAGCACATGGAAGTTCTACAGCCACTACTGGTCATCCCGTTGCTCCATGACAATCTGGCCCCACCAGCTGGAACCTGTTGCTAGTCGCCAGAAGTGGCAGTGCCTGGTGTGCAGGGTAGGGTGGGAGAGATCATGCTGCATGAGCAGTACGGAGAAAGAGGTGAGGAGGTGCCCTACAGGGAACAGTGTGTCCTGTTCCTGCAGTGCCATGTGGGCAGCATGCAATAACTGCACCAGGAGGCGTGGTAGCAGATCTAAGAGATGGCGATTACTTTCTAGCACATCTAGCTCCATGCCCTCAAGAGCAACCAGAGCAAGAAGTGAGATGAGTTTGCTGTCCTTCAAGGCAAAGGTGAAGAGCCTGAGACATGGCTGTAGAAGGTAGCCCTTTTAAGCATAAGCCTCAGATAGCCTCAGGCAGCAGCTACAGGAAATGACTGCTGTCCTGATGCTCTGCCCTGATGCTTCCAGGGGGCCTTAAGAGCTATTCAGGCTTCACTCAGTGTGGACACACTATTTTGATATATTTCTGCACTATTTTGATGGGCTTTTGTAGTGTGGAACATAGTATTTGAAATAGCTATTCTGGGAGTTATGATGCCAAAATAGCTTATTTGTACCGTCATAGTTCCAGTGTAGAGGTTGCACATGAAATCACCGGGAATGAATTGTGTAAGTTCAGAAATATCTCTAGTGCTATAGTGATTGAAAGGAAAGTTCTGTCTCCCTGATTTCTCTCATCATTTACATGATCCAAATCTAAATGCGTCATATTCACCACTAAACTAAATTAAAAGCTTGTGTGTGTGTGTTGTGTGTATCCTTTTTTTAATTAGATTTCTTTTTTTTTTTTGCCTCCTTTGGTTTTGTTGAATGTTACTTTGAAGTGAAATGTGGCTCTAATGCCTTGTGCCTCAAATTTTGCAATTTGCTGCATGAGCAGTATGGGGAAAGAGGTGATGATGTGTTTCTGCAGTGCCATGTGGGCAGCATGCAATAACTGCACCAGGAGGTGTGGTAGCAGATCTAAGCGATTCATATTACAATCCATGAAGTTACGGCCCATGAAGTTAACAACTACTGTTTTGGTTTTGAGGGAGTTGGCAGGTATATAATAAAGTATTCATATGGACACGCTTAAGTGCTTTGTTGTGTGGAAACTCCATACTTTGCAAAAGTAATACAATGCATTTATGGCAGAGCAAGGAAGATTTCCTTCATATAAAATGAGCCAGGAAGACCAATGATCTTGATCTGTGACAGATTGCTGCACACAAAAAGCTTCTTTTTGTTGGGGAGAACAAAAAATGGAGCCCCATGCCATTTGTACTAATGAAAGAGGAGACCTAAGAAATCAGTCTGGAATGTTTGAAGTATGGGGGTTGGATGCCCTCTTTGCAAGTCCTGCATCACCTGACAGTTCAACTTACAAAACAACAGTCACAATGTTACTAGCTTCCCAAAAGTAAACAGTACTTACCATTGGGTCCTACATTAGCAGGTGGGGCACTGCTGACTCCCTAAAGTGCCCACAAGTCCGTGGGACATGCCTTGGCTGAGTGAGTTTGTGAGGCCCCGCCCGGGGTCAGGGCAGGCGGACAGACATGGGGTTAATACAAATAGTCATCAGTTCACAGTTTAAGGTGCCTTGGGTCAGGGCGACAAGTGTCTATTAAAGCTCTGTCTGGGTCCCAGCCGGACAGGGGTCGGGTCTCCTCGCTCTGCGAGAGCCGACAAGCACAAGGGTTTTGGCCCCACAGGGGGAACCTGCCACTCAGGAGAAAGGGTTGCAGGGGGGACGCAGGCCCTCCCTACTCCACCGCATCCCGCACCAGGGCCCTAACAGTGCCAAGGCAGCAGCCACTGGACCGGCAGAGCTCCAGGCCATAGCACGCCGTCCAGGTCAATGGGAGTCCAAGCCACAGCGCCCTGCCCACCTGACCTCCACTTCTTCAGCCTTCCCAGGATCGGCTGTCCCTGAGTCACTTTCCAACCCCCCTCCTCCCTCCCTGGGCCTACCCAATTCTGGCGACAGTCCGGTGGATACTCGGGCAACAGCGGGGTTGGCAGGGTGTCCATGGGCTCCGGTTCAGGCAGGACTCCAGGTGGGCCAGCACAGTTGTTGGTAGCCAGCAAGCGTGCTATCAGGATCAGCGTGCATTCAGGCAGCAGCCAGTGTCCCAGGCCAGAGCTCTGAGGTTGGCAGGGGTCCAGGCAGCCCAACCCAGTTCTTGGACCAGGGGCAGTGCGGCCGAGGCCTACGCTGTGGGAGTTACGGCCAGGTGTTGGCTTGGCTTAGTTACCTGGCTCCGACTGAACCTGTGGCTCTTATAGCCCCAGACCCGCCCTCTGACCTCCTGTGGGCGGGGCTAGGTGTGGCTGGACCCGCCCACCAAGGGGTCATAGAGGGCACTTCCTCTTCCGGGTCAGCAGGCAGCCATGTTGCTGTCCCAGACTCATTACAGTCCCATAACACCACCATAAAATGATGACTATTTCATGCAAAGCATCACATCATATAAAAAGTCTGAAGCCAGTTGTTCTGTTCAAATGCTTATCAATAGTGTGCATGAAGTTATGAGATTTTGCCAAATGGTTGTTACTGAAATATGCTGTAATTTTGAGAGTCTTTAATGCTAGGTGATGAACCACTTCCAGGATGGTATTAAACATTCATTAATCAATAGGGGAGTTCTAATGAAAGGGTATACAATTCAATAACAATTGTGCAAGCACCAAACAATGGAGACTGTCCAATTCTAGGATGCAGTTGCCCAAGATCACATCAGTGGTATTGCTTAGCCTCGTGACTCAGGAAAGTCCATCAGGACATGTCTTCATCGGAGCAAGTGTCTCATAGGTACATGGACTAAGGATACAAGATAGACAAAAGCCTGGTGCCACTGTTCCCTTTCTCTTCCCCCACATATGCTGAAAGAAGGAACAAGAATGCTTGGAAGATAAAGACTTCAACTGAGGAGACTGGACCAGGGAGAAGCCTGTGTATTAAGAACTGTAATATCTAGGGGGTGAGAATACTGCTTGACCTAAACACTGCATAATATAATAAGGTTTAAGAGTTAGATTGTGTGCTTAGCTTCTATTTTCTTTGGTAACTATCTCTGATCATTTATGTCTACCACTTAAAGGGTGCCTCTACACTGTGCCTGTAGCTTGAAATAAGATACGCAATTTGAGCTACGCAAATTGCATATTTTATTTTAATCATATTTTGAAATAGCTAATTTCAAAATTTGGCACTGTCTACACAGCACCTATTTCAAAATAAATTGCTATTCTGAAAAGTCCCTTACCCCTCTAATGCTCATTAGAGGGATGTCAGAATAGCGAGCCCATTATATTTCGAAATAACGGGTGTGCTCAAAAGACGCAGAATAGCTATTTCGGGATACCTCCAGTATCCCGAAATAGTGCTGCAGTGCAGATGTAGCCTACAGTCTCTCTCTCTCTCTCTATTTAATAAATCTGTTTGATATTTTACCCAGAACAGTGTTTTCCTTGAAGTGCTTGGGAAATCTCAGCTCAGGTTAGAAAGGCTAGAGTGTGTCCTCTCCACATTGAAGGATGGGTGGACTGTGTAAGAAATATACACTGGTCAGGCTTCTGACCAGGAAAAGATGGTGCACCTTTTGGGCAAAAGTCCAGGGAGGTGGGAGGAATTGGCTGGCTCCTTTCTCTTTAAGATTTGTGAGTGGATCTGGGAGCTGAATGATAAATAGCAAACCCTGCCAAGCACAGCTGTCACTTGCAAAGCATTGCGAGATAGCACCCAGGCTGGAGAGTTAAAGATGCACAGTGTTACCCCAGTTCCAGGTTGTACCCTGCCAATTCAGTCATAACTATCTGCCTCTGGACATAGTGACATTCTGTAACATCCTTTCAGACGTGACAATGCTCTGTCATTGGATAAGTATATTGTTCCATGTTTTAGTCGGAGTTGTTTTGTGGTAAGTTTGCAGAAAACGAGAGAAATTATGTTGCACAAGTCTACAGGAGGAAAAGGTTTCCAGAGGATGTGGTAATTTTATGTTTGTTGCAGCAAACAGACTTGTGTGTAATTTCAGAAACAGGTAGAGCTGCATACTGGGGGTGTCACTTTGAAATGGGAATGCAGAATCCCAACTCCCTGGAACATCTCTTTCAGATCAGTTTGTGTCTAAACTTTGCAATTCAGGCTCACTCAATAACATTGACTAATGAATATTTCCTAAAGTGGGGAAGGAGAGGGACCTTCCCCCTGCTAAATTTTCTCCAGCCCGTGGCAAGTCTGCGCACCATGGGCTGGAATCCCTGACTCTCAGCTCCCTCCCAGTCATGGGGCTAGAATCACAAGCACTGGCTATCCCCATTGTGGGGGAAGATATGGTGCCAGACTGGTCAGCTGCACCTGCAGCCCTGTATGTGCAGGGGTCATCAATTAGAGTCCATGTGCACCTGCCCCCATCAATGGGTCAGGAGAACTGAGGGAGCTGCATCTGTAGGCATGGCTACAAAGACTAGGCTAATGGACCTTTCTTGCCCATGTAGTTGCTATATGCAATGAATCATGTCCCATCAGCTTGAATTCTGGAAGAATGAAATAAAGATATTTGACGTGAAATTCTTCATCTGCTGTTGAAGGGTATGTCTACACTACAGCGCTAATTCGAACTTAATTCAAATTAGTTAATTCGAACTAAGCTAATTCAAACTAGTGCATCTAGACCTAAAAACTAGTTCAAATTAGCGTTTTGCTAATTCGAACTAGCATGTCCACATTGAGTGGACCCTGAACCGGGGTTAAGGATGGCCAGAAGCAGTGCCGGCAGGGCATCAGATGAGGACTTAGAGCGTGGAGCTGCTGTCTCAGGCTAGCCGAGGGCTGTGCTTAAAAGGATCCGACCCCCACCCCGGACAGACAGTTCTCAGGGGTTCCCTGTTCACTTGTCTAACTTGATGAGGGACAGCAAAGCAGTCCTGGCTTCAAGTGCCCACACTCGGCCATCAGCCCGGCTGCACTCGCCATAGGCTGCCATCCGGGGACGGGGGTCAATCGGGGGGCTGCAGGAGAGCTTCCACCCCGAGGAGCCCGCAGAGCCAGCCCAGTCCTCCCCATCGGGGGCTCGTACCCCAGTCCTCCCTCACCTCCTTCCACTTACCCCTCCCTAGCCCCCCTTCCTGATGTACAAAATAAAGGACATGTGTGTTCAAAAATAGAAACTCTCTTTATTGAGCAAAACTCGGGGAGACTGGGAAAAGGAGAGGGGAAGAGAGAGGGTGGGAGAAGGGAGG